GAACAATGTGAATACAAAATCTTCCACCAAGGTTTAGTTGGCAGGCTAGCTAAAAGATTTATAGATACTTGTCTCAAATACATGAGAATATGGATCGTAAACATTCTAACCATGGAAATTAAAACATTGTACAAGGCTTTGTTTCATTACCAGAAGTGGAATTATCTGCAAGTGACAATTGCTGTTTTGGCTGCATTCCCTGTCTGCTGGAGAGGGAGCTCCCTTGTAGGGATATATGGTGAAACAGGTGGAATAGAAGACATGAAAATTGTATGTGGATATATCACTGGAGAAGTTGGATGACATGATTCACATTTGCTTCCTGAAGATTTTTAAAAAATTTAGGAAAATATTATGATAAAGCAGAGAGAAGTGTTCTCTGGCTATTCAAATGACTGGTCCAGAAAAGTCTAGCATATAGAGTGTGAAAGGCAGGATGCACCACCTTAACCAAGTTAAATTCTGTGTTTTGCTGAGTCTCTGAGGCTTTGAAGGAGAGGATGGAAAAATCATTAAAAAATAAAAGCATCCACTGCCTGGCCCTGAACACCTGATAATATTACTTACTGGCTCAGATGCTGAGGGTCATGTTCAGATCACATAAAATACAATTTAAAAATATCAACAGAGAAAATTAAATTAATGGACATAGAATCTCATAAAAAGGAGAAGCAAAAAGTGTGGGATGTGTGACAAAGTTTAAAATATTTGAAGATACTGTTTTCCTAGTTTACTGCTAAGAAACAATGGCAAGAAGCATCCAAATCCAGAAACCATTCATATTTCTGAATTACTTCATCAGTGAGTTATCTTAAACCCACCCTCACTCTTAACATTATTGCTGTCCTTACCAGATACACACACCCTAGATACTTTGTCTTCCTCTATGAAATCACACAAATATTGCTGTTGTTTTTCACAGAACCATTTAGGTTGGAAAAGACCTTTAAGAGAGAGTATAAGCCTTATCAATATTTGCTATCCACTTTTTTCACAAAACAAAATAATCTTCATCATTCAGCAAACCCATGGTAACAACAGGAATACAAATCTTGTGGATTGGAAAGCTACAAATGGCAGAATAGAACTGGATCACATCTTGACTGATGTTCATACTTTATTAAATCACAATTTAGCTAAACCACAGCCAGTGTTTAAACTTTGGAGAAGAACACACACCAGTTCAGTTTTCTAGAACATCTGCTATGTATTTCCCATCATCCTTTTAAAACAACTGCACACAAATCTGCTAAATGTGACTGCAATACAACTAACATTCTGACTGATAACAAAGGTCAGAGGCATTGGAGAAAATGAGAAGTTTTTTTCAACTTACGATTATGAAGTATACAGATGACTTTCAGGAGACAAGGACACTTCCCCCACTATCTTCTGAATTAATCTGAATATCAAAAAAGTACCCAAAAGGCCTTTTTTATTGTATGACTGTATAACTCACAAAGAAATGTGAATCATTTGTAGCAGCAAGACATCAGCTGTCTTGTTTGTTACCTAAAAGAATTAAATTTACAGCAAGCCACAGCTACTCTGCTCCAAATGTATTTCATGTGGGTTTGAGAACGTTTCAGGGGATTTACTGCTTTAGTACCTGTTTGTCCCTTTTCAATGAGTATAAGATCACAGAGTTTAAAAAGAGATAATAATTCAGGAAAGCTATAAGTTCTCTTATAAAGACTTTAATCAGGAGCATGATATTTCTTTTTGAACAAAAGCAGCTTCTCAATTTCTTTCTCCTGGAAGAAACTCACTTCTACTATTTAGCTTGATTTGTTACTGGTTTTTTACTAACTCCCTAATCCTCCTAACCAATTTTTGTTTATTTCCACAGTCTGTTATTGATAGAAGTTTCAAAATTATGAAAATAATACACATTCTAGCCAGGTGGAAAGAAGATAAACACTTTTCAGGTAGATTTATTCAGCCATCAAAAAGAGAAATGCATCACTCTGTGTGAATAATATTAATCTCAGACATATGTTAGGCAATGGCTCTACCGTAGAAATAACAGCATGGACTTTATCCTAGGTCTGCTGCTCAGGATCACAAAGGAGTTTGTACAGCTCTCCCTGACACAAATTTCCATGTTTTTGCTATGATTGGTATCTGAACTAGTAAGATTAAAACTTGTTCTCTGCATGCTGCAGTACCTACAGCTGAAGTTCTGTCATGCTTTTTCTAACTGCAAGCTAAGATCTTTCTACATAAAGCTACAGAAATGGCGAAGATTGCACTCCACACACGCATAATCCACTCCAAGAAAAAAAAAAAAAGGCAAAAATCCCAGAACCCAAACAAACTGTAGTGAAACTGCAATTAAATAAATATTGGAATGGAAACTAAACAATGAGATAACAAAGCGGTTCTCTTAACTGTCTCTCAGAAGAAAATCAAGGAACAGATGACTATTTGAATAAAACTCCTTTCCAAATCCAGTTTCTCTGGTTCATCTCCAAGCATCACCTCAGTCTGAAACCCTAGGAAAAATTATGAGCACTAGCCAGCTAGCTTATAGAATGTAACAGCCATGATGACTTTCAAGTATTTGTCTCTCAGACTACGGCATAAATCTTCTAGGACCTACCTCTGTAATCATCTACAGGGTTGACTTTGACTTGGGAACTATGAAATAAACCTGGGTTTTGAGGCAAATGCTCTTTAAACATCAAACTTTGGTTCATTTCACTTATTTTAAACTTATCAGTCACAGTGATATTTCTGATACCCAAATCATGCTGTTTTTCTGCACCTACACTCTCCTGGTTTCACTATCATACAGCTGTTCTCTTATGTCTTCCATTCCTGCACTGCTGCACTGTCCTTTAGAACTGATAGTTTGCTTCCCTCTTCTGTACTTTTCATCAACTTAAAGTATCTCTCTTTTGAAATACAATGCAAATGTAATACTCATAGATTATATTTTACATGTAAAGGTTTCGAATCAGCACTGTAGCCAGGTAGGTAAGAAATAAAGCAACTATAGACCAGGATACCTGCAGAAAATTCAGGAAAAAATATTTATTCACTCACCTAAAAAAACAAAACAAAACAAACAAAAAAACCCAACAAAACCCCAAAACAAAACAGAAAAAAAGCAAAAAATGAAACATCTGGTCCTCAAAATTAATTTTCATTAAAAAAAATTACATTGGGGTGGATTTTGAACTATGTTGCCACTGCCCCTCATCTCTGAATTTTTATCAAAAAGTGAAAAATGGTAAATAAAAATAAGAACTATACTCAAATTGTCATCCAAACATTGCCTAATTTTTAAAATATTACCTTTCTAGAGTTGCAGTACTATTTCTGGGAGTTTTTGAGGGGCTTTTGGGGAACTTGAAAAGCCATTACAAATTGTAATTGGCTTTAACATCACCTTCCTTTTTTAAGTCTGTTCATGTTTTATCTTTTTTTTTTTTAATAGAATCTACTGGCTTTTACTGTGACAGTAAATTCACAACAGTGTTTTCAAAAATATTAATTCAGTGACTCCTGAGAGGAGCAGGTTAGGCAAAGTATGAACCTCTCTGTTCTTCTATTTCTATGAACCTCTCTGTTCTTCTATCTCCTAAAGCCAGGATCCCACATTGGTGACTGTAAGCCAGTCTTTTGCCTCAGATACTTCCTAGGTATGTTTACAGCCAGATTAAAAACATCTGTTGGACCAAGCAGATTTAACACAGTTCAGCCAAAGCTCTTAATCAGATTCAATTTCCTCTTGTCCTGGTTCCTTTAACTGTCTTAAAGCTTCAACAATTCATCTCTTCCAAACCTGAAAACGACATCTCATTCCCAGACTCAAAACCTTTAGATCCATTTCTACAGTAAATATAAAAGCCCTCTGCACCTTCAAATGTCTGAGATCCACATAGAAACTTTGTGTCTATTCTATATGTAAGCCCCAATCAACATCAGGTGTCAGACTGCTTTCTGTTCTCCTTCCTTATTTTATGTCAGTGACTAGACAATAATGTCCCATTCTTCTTGCACCTATTGCCTGTGGTTTGAATCATTCACTTCAAATGATTTTGTCTACCTGACATTCTAAATCCTACCTAAAAATCCTTTTTTCCTACCACTGCTTCAGTTCCACGGTCACAAATATAAGCTGGCCATGTTCAAGTTTATTAATTTTTATTTAAACTTTCTCATTCCGTTCAACTCTTCTACAGGTATCATCACCTAATTTTACTTCCCCCAGTAAAAGTAGCTTTTCCGAGTGTCAGAGTGAAAGATAGTCTATATTTTATTTCATTGGTAGTGATACTAAACCCTGTACAAAGAAAATGGAAGTTTAACTCTATGTAAGGGAAACAGATATTATTCTGTAGTAAAGGAAAAAAAATATTATTAATGGGTTCTTACAGTTTATTTGGAATTATCGTGACAATTGACATTCTTTCTCAAAGTTGTAGTTCTTAAAGGTAGTTGACTATACAAGAACCTTTCTTTTTTAAAATTTTGTTTCAGATGGACTTTGACAAAGAACTCAGATAAATCTTGTTTAGGCAATGTGTGACTCCCACAGCTCAAAGCCAACAATATCTAACCTTTATGTGCATCAAAAATAGCTTGGAAACATGACCAGAGTGAAGTTGAAAGGCTTAGCAAGCAAAAAAGCAGAATAAAGAAAAAAAAGTCAGATTTATTTAAAGTTATTTTTAGTTATGCTGATAATTTTGGTTGTGTGACTCATACCTTGGGAAACCTTTGAGGTGATAATAATCAAAGATGAGTACCTTCTGATTCAAGAAATCAGATGCAACAAATCCATTCACCAAAAAATCCAAATTGGATGCACACACATCTGCAGTCTACGATAGCAGAATCATACAAATTTTAGATCCTGAAAACAGGGAGACAAGTCCCAACCCTTGGCCCCACTGCTTCCTTACTTGTTCCCAGACTACCTCAATGCTTCACAGAGGCTGACCTTCATCAGTGGCCCTGCTCACAGCCCCAGCAGCCCCACCAGTACTCACCACTGGACGGTGCACATCCCAGAATGCTCGCTCCTGGCTGTCAAGAATCTTCCTCTCTATCTTGTCTCTCTTCTTGTCAACCCTGTCAATGTTATAGGATATTTAAAAGAAACCGTGTTGATGACAGCAATTTTAAATGCAAGAAGCATCCCATCACTTTTCCCTCCCTTCTCCCTTCAAAAAGCATGCAAAATGAAAACCCCTCATCTCCAAAGGAACTTACTTTGCTTGTGCTTCAGCTTGCATAAAAATAAACTCCCATTTCCGAGCAAATGCTCGCTGTAGCCTGGCCAAACTCTCCTGAAAATATATCACAATTTTAGTGGGTTAGGTTGCAAGTTATTTGCTCTTAGCTTCTGACTTATCTTTCTCTCTTCCTCCCCACCAAGATGTAATACGAGTCATGATATTTGTCTCAGTGTAAATGTACTTTAGTTATCTGATATAAAGTTTTTGCTTGACACCAAATGAGATGGAATACTTTTGAATGCCTTGACTGTTTCAGTTTTGAAACTCTGATAAAAAGGGTGGATGCAACTTCCAGCAAAACATGGGATTTCTGAAGCATTTTTATAGAATGGGTGCTGGCTGAGCAATTTTGAAATAATGCAAAGAAATATTCTTGTTTTGAAAGTACCTAATACTGAAAGAGAACAGCTGTAATTTCCATACTGGATTATCCACATAACAATTGCCATCACTCATCTACACAAGCGGTTTCCCTTGAACAATTTTGGCTGCCATTTTTGAGGGTGTAGGAATCTTCCAAACCCCCACAGCGATCCTCATTTAAAAGAATGCAGACTACAGTTCTTCACTACTGTAATCTTAACAAAATTCTTTCCTCCACTGATGTTGGAACATTTTCACTGTCTGTAACAGAGCTTTCCCTATCTCTCCCCAGCTGAAACGGCAACAGTATTCAGTCTGTAACATGGAGGCTGAGATTCTTCTCTTCCACCAAAAAGACCCCAGCTACCTTAATGTACTGCTTTTACTGAGACTAAATTAAAATTGACCATAAACTTCCTAACAAAAAAATGTATTGCTTTTACAGTAGTTCTGTGCATTGTAAAAACATCTCTATGCAATTCTTACTGAAAATAAAACTGCAGAGAGTGAAGAGGAGACTTTCTTGATCTTGTCAATACCACTAAAGTCTCTCATGGATTATATACTTAAGGGGAATTTTCTAAGGCATATGAGCATAAAATTATGCATACCCTACAGTGCAATACACTGAAGAACAAGTTTGTTCCAGAAGAAGCAATTAAGGGCATCAGCATGGTGCTGTGGCTGGAGTGTGTGGTATGGTGAGAGGCCTGGCTGACCATCCTGCTATTGGGTCACAGAAGAACAGCTGGACAGCTTTCAGTGCAGAGCCAGGGATGTTTGTGAATTTTATGTAGACATTCTCATAAAAAATTCAGGAACTTTTTGGGGGATAGAGATGGAATTCAAGACATCTCTCTCCTTATTGAATGCCATCCTCATCAGCTAATCAAACTCCCTCTTTTTTAGGCTCTTCCTGGCCCCAGTTATCTTACTTTGCCTGAGGCACAGAACAACTGTCAGTGAGTGGGAAGTGCCTCTAGTCTGACCCTCTTTGTCTCTCATCTAGCTGATGGGAAAAGGCTCAAGTGCCAGCATCACTTTATAGAATGAGATTTATATTTCTACATCTATCAAGTGCTTTTGGAAATGTTGTCAGAGATCCTTCATTCAAACTTAAATGGTGTAGAGAACAACTGCTTTCAAACACTCATGGTGTATCTGGGATTTGTGAACAGTTATTTGTGATACTGGCATGGTGATCTGACCAGAGTAATATTAGAGATGAACTGAAATCTCAGCTTTTGTGCACTTAGCGTTCACTACAGTCTCTCAAACACCACACTAAGCACTGTTAGACCCACATGCCAGAAAATGTGGATAACTAATAGATTTTCACACTCAGTGCCTGTAGTTCTCATGCTTAACATTATTTCACAAGCTCATAAGGCCCAGTAGAGAAATCTACTTTTTGCCAAGTACTTACAGCTTCATAGTCTGCTAGCTCTAGCCTTGCTTTGTTTTGCATTGTCCGCTTGCAGAGGTAAACAGCTGGAACAGAATAAAATAACACAGAATTTGCTACTATCTCACAAATACAGCAGATCAGAAATCTAAAGGCTTCATCTCTGTTTTACTGCTAGATTTTTTTGTTTTGATTTCTCCCTCTACTCGAAAAAGCTTTAAATATGGGATCAATGCTACCAGTATTATAACTGAAATGATGGATCAAATACAAAGGTTCATTAAATGATAATAAAATCTGCTTTATGCAATAGACATCATATGCAAAATGCATGAGATACTCGAGGTCAGGTTTTTTTAATGGCCAGGGAACTAGCACGTAAAAGAAAAACAGCAAAAACATTTGACAAACCGTTTATCTATAAATCATAATGCATAAGAGTTTTAGCAGGATCTGCTGCTGTATTAGTCAAACAAGTTTTTAAGAACACGAATACATGGTTTTATTTATTTTTATTCTATATTTAGTAATAGCAAACTTTCAGCCTAAGAAGATTTTAGCTAAAAAATAATTCCAGAAAAAATTCATGTCTTATACAGATTAGTCTGCTATAGAGACCAAACAATGAAACAAAGCATATAGTCTATTAGATATAAGAAAAAATATTCTTTCATTTATTTTCTAAATCCAAAAATCCTTCAGCAGACCTGTTCTGCCTCCACTTGATTCAGACAGAGCAGACTCCTTGCTAATAAAATGTTGAAGTACATTTCCAAAAGACTTTATTTAGCAACAAATACTTCACAACAACTCTGAATATTTTACAGCTTCACCCACCAGTAAGACAGTGAGTGCTGCACAACTCCTTATTGTGCAACATTTACCCACTACATTACTTCAGAGCACCTTCTCGTGTGTGAGATGGAGGAATCTTTTATCAGTGTAGGTAGGAAAACCTTAGCATATCTGTTTTCTCTAACTTAGCAAAAAGAGCCCATATTTGCTGCTTATGGTTAGGAACATTCCTGCTTCCTGACTGCCAGCTTGCCCACTACAGGAACAAAGAGAAATAACTTCACATAGGAACCTAACTCACAATCACTAGGAAGAAAGAAGTGCTTATTTTAGATATAGCTTTGATTATTAAGATAGTCAAACCAATTATAATTTACAATTCCACAAAAATATTTATTTCTGACAAGTCACCTGCAAATGCATGCAAATCCACTGAATGCCCTTTTAGCTGAACTGATTACAAGCACTTCTAAGAGCTTACAGACGTTACTTGATGTAAAACAAAGTTATATTTTAATGCAATTTTTGTCTTTTTTTTCCCCTCCTCTTTTTGTGTGTGTTATCTGGTCTGTTTTCTTTCATAATATTTCACTTTCCACTCTCATAAGAAGCCATGGTCTCTTTCTCTATTCCTTGCACTCCCATATGCCCTCTGGTTCCAAAGCAGTTTCTGCGTCTGCAAAATCTACAGATACACATCCATGTCACACACCAAGTATAGTAGACAGTTTCTATAACCTCGGTTTCCGTGCATTTTAATATTACTATACAGTACATTAAACATTCTTGGGCAGGATGAGCTCATTAGCCTCCTGGCAGTCATCCTAGGAGAAGGACAACTCCAATCCCAAACCCGGGCAAATGGAGCTCGCTTAGCCCTGTAAGGCCATCCATCTAAGAGAAGGTCACTCTAATCAAACCTACGTCCTGAGGACCTCACTGCCAACGTCCAAGCTCGCTCGGCCCTGGCAGATGAACCTCAGGATTAAAGGGTGGGTTCAGTTCCGCGCACACTGTGTCTCACCTAAAAAATTCCATTGCGCAGGCTTGAAGGCTTTATCCACATGCAAAAAGTCCTGTAGCAACGGGCGAGGGTCGAAACGGCAGGTGAAAGGTGCACTGGGAGCCGCAGACCCAACCCTACATGCAGGCGGTTCAGGATATTGGTCATTTGAGACTGACCGGAGATGACAGTCTCTTGGGGCAGCACCCTGAACGACCAAGCAGCCTTTTCAAGGACAGCACTGCTTGCTCCACTCGGAGAGGGGCCTAGAAAAGGTGGCCTAAACAAAGCTCATCTCCACTTTCACCTGGTTGGTTAACCACAGGTCAACGGGCATCTTCTTCCAATGCGGTCGCACAAAGATCAAAAGACAAAGGTATGCACCTGCCTCCAAAGGTGTACCTAAATTAACTCTAGCATGTTGGAATATCAGAACCATGCTCGAATAATCCCAAATCTTTGTTCGCCAAGCCTAGCCATGACAGTACATTAATGCATTAGCATGCATGCTGAAATGTCATAAAAAGATGAGGGGATGAATTTTGGACCTTTTGTATCTAGGTGGCATTCACAATCCATACAGTGGTGAGATAGTCTTGAGGAGAGAGATGATCTTTGTCATTTAGCTGCTTTTACAGTGAAGCATTTTCCACTCTTCCTTCAAAATTGCTTATTTCATTGAACAAGAAAAAAAACCACCCTAAACACATTAAAAATATTAGCAATAAAATACATACTTAATATAAATGTGTAGGCAATTCTGAGAAATCCAGGGGTCAAATTTTGTCTCGTCCAACCAGTCTAATACCACTTAGCAGAAATAAAACAAGCTCCCTGCTCCTACACTTGATTAAGCCCCTGTAAACCACATTCTCACAGTCCCAGTACAGGCACTTTTAGTTAGCTTAGAGCTTTCTTGAGTCCCACTGCAGGCAAATTTTGGGATTAGCATTTCCTGCTAGCATCAACAAAAATTGTTGCTGCAGAATTGGCTGACAGAAAAGCATCTTCAGACAACGTATTTCAACACTGGCGAAACAACCATTAAGTCACCTCGAGCAGGAGAAATGAATTAGCTTGCCACACTATTAATTTGATACAGTGTCTAAGAAATCTCTTCCCTTCACTGTGTAACTCTAACACAGTATTTTCTCTGCAGTGTTCTTTTAATGACTGTCCTTGCTCTCAATCCATAGCAAATAGTCCATATAATAATGTTTGGTTTTCATTATGTGCGTAACTTAGCCAAGACTCAAAAAATCATGTTCATCCCTCAGAGCTTTTATTTATCTGAAATATTCAAATCCCCTCCCCTTCAGGAGCCTAAAGGTTATAACACCTGTGCCTTGGATTCTTTATCTCAGAAATGTTTCTATGTGCCACTGTGGATAAGGCAGAATATGCCCAAGGAAGATTTAGTATAGTGGGAAGTATGACATATCCACTAGTATAGAGGAAAATAGTGCTGAAGGACATTCCTACTCTGCCTCAATTTGTTGTCATTGTTATGTGCCAACAATTACATCCTTATAAAAGTGCATGTTTGAGGTTTTATGTAGGAGCTAATTTTAGTGACATGAGAGGCTGGCAGCATCTCAGGAATTTGAGTTCACCAGTTTACACTCTCATTGTCGTATTCTTTGGTTTATCTGTAAAAAATTCACTAGCATGTTGGAAAGAAAGAAAAATGTGAAAATCATCCTCATTTTCAGCCAGACCATTTGAAGATACAGAATAATGAGGTTTTGTTCTTCTACTTTTAGGGCAATGAGACTTGAAATATGGATACTGCCATCTTTCACAGCTACCACCCCTTTACTGCACCAAATCATGTGTGAAGTAACTGTGCTTGTCCAGCAGCCTGACTGAGGATGTCAGTCAGTTTCTCTCTCAAAGCAGAGTTAGGAGTCCCCAGAAATTCAGCGAACGACAGCGTCTGCTTTTCTAATGCCACGTGTTGACAGTGGTTTTACAGCTTCATACAGAAGTACAGTATGCAGGAAGGTCTCCAACTCAAAGCTCCTTTTTTTCTGTATATAGTTCTCTATTTATCTGCCCCTCTAAGGTCCTGGTCAGGGACCAGTATACCAATGAGCTGTAATTGCCCTAAGCAGCCCATCCAGGGACTCCACTGGGGTGTCCTGTGCCCAGGAACTGTGCATAAACCCAGCTACCTCCCCTGGCACAGGCTCGAGCTATATCTCTAACCAGACCTGTAACTTACCAGCCGTGTAATTTGCCCTAGCTTCCCAGCCTGACCTTGGACCTTTCTGGTCAGTTAAGACTTTGGTGGTGAGGACCTTGCACTTGCCTACACTGTTGCCAGCCTCAGTTCTTGCTTACCTTTCCTTGCAGAGCTTCCTGCTCTTTTTGCTCCCTGACAAGGGTGCTGAAAAATGCTTACCATGGGGATGAATTATATGCAAGGAATGGGGTCTGAATTAATAACCTCATCTTGCTAAATATGGACTACCATATACACTCTTATTTTTAGAGCCAGTGTATTCTGATGGATTTTGCAATCAACATAATTGCCTCTACTGAAGTGAATTATATATTAGATGCTATAGCTTGTGCTTTAGAAGTGACTGATTACCAAGAGAAAACAGATTTGCCAATAATTTTAAAGGTCATATTAATATGTAATATTTCATAATGAATGATGGTCAGTGATGTTTATAAATGGGTATTTGAACAACAAACCAGTATAAAAACACACTTTGGTAGCTGTGCAGTAAATACAGACTACTCGATCTTGAAAATTCTGCTCAGGCATTCACAAAACGTGGGCAACATGAGAGTTTCAAATGAGACTACCAAGTGTTTTAGTGAGAGTTGCCTGTGTTTTCCCTCCTGCGAGTTTTTAACAGTTAAACCCCAAAACCAACCAATTTTCATGGTTAGCCACCTTTGTTTTCTGTTCTTGACTGTTCACTTGCACTTGAAAGCTCTTAAGAATTATAGAATCATATAATCAACCAGGTTGGAAAAGACCTCTGAGATCATCAAATCCAACCCTTGATCCAACACTGCCATGGTTACTAGACCATGACACTAAGTGCCACATCCAGTCTCATCTTAAAAACCTCCAGGGACAGTGAATCCACCACTTCCCTGGGTAGCCCATTCCAATGTCTGATTACTCTCTTTGTAAAAAATTTTTTCCTAATATTCAACCTAAACCTCCCCTGGCACAGCTTGAGACCATGCCCTCTTGTCCTACTACTGGTTGCCTGGGAGAAGAGACCGACACCCAGCCAGCTACAACCTCCTTTCAGGGAGTTGTAG